CGCCGCATCTGTCAGCCGGACTGCCCTATAGAGCTCTGCCTTCTCCTAGGGGGATTCCTGTTAGCTCTACACGGCGGACTGAGATTTGGAGATCTGCAGCGCATCACTCGCTGACAGGACACAGCCTTCGAGCGGTTTGCTGGCATACGAAAACAACCAAGCGAGGTCAGCCCTTCGCGGTTCGTCTGCGCGGGATCTCCGGCCGAGACCCGGCGAGCCTTTGGGTGCTGCCCTTCCTGCGAGCAGTTCAGACGGTCTGGGAGCGCACAGAGGAGATTTACGGAGTGCACACTTGCCCCGACTTTATACTGCCCACTTTGCGCAACCTACGGGGATTTCCGGGCAAGCCAGCTGCAGCCTACCACCAGCCGATGTCCTGTAGCCAAGCCCTAGGTTGCCTTCGTTTCTTCATGTGCCGCCGGCATCTGGAGGGTGGCTGCCCGGATCTACTGACACCGGAAGAGGCGTCCGCCTTCACGATGCACAGCCTTAAGGTTTGCCTACTTAGCGCCGGGGCACAAATTCAAGCTGCCGACAAGATACGCCAACAGCAAGCCCATCACAAAAACCCTAGCGTACAGCTTTACGGGAGAGATGATACGCTGGGAGCCTTAGCCTTACAAACCGAAATAGCACAAGCATGCGCCCTGGGTTGGAGGCCCACACGCCCCATAGCCAGGGGAGGACAGCATCCGATGGTAGAGCCGCCTTTTGAGGTCAGCTCTTCTTCGCCGCCCAAGGTCTTCCAGCTCTCGGCCCTAGGGAAGGGTCTGGACAGATTTATTTACTCCCGCGAAGCAGAACTTGAGGCCGCCTTTATCGACACTCACTATACCCGCAGACGACATCGAGGCACTGCTGGTGGAGAGCTTTGCGGCTGGGCAGGCAGACTCTTCCGACTCGGACGACCAGGTTACCCCACCTACCGTGGAGGACATAGCCTTGTTCCAGAATGGACCTTGGGGATCCGTTCATGCTCAGCCGTTGGGAGCCGACAAAGCGGCCTGCGGGACGCCCCGCTCCACGGCCGCCTTTTGCCCCACGTGTCCTAACACAGCATTTTTCTGCCGCAGAGCGGCCTGCCGACGTCTTTTGGACGCACTGCCTTAGAAACAACACGTGCTGGGCGGTATGCTCCGTGAGTTTTCTAGCCCCTTCGCTCGCACTGCCTTTTCACCGCAGCCGTTTTAGGCTTACGCCCCCCAGGTGCCCCTTGATTTTCCCGCAGGCATGGCGCTCTTCGAGCAATCAGAGCTTGCAGCCTTCCTGCAAGCGCAGGGGGTGCACGACGTGGTCTGCAATGGACTCGCCCTTAAGGGGCTCGAGACTGTCGAGGACTTGGCATTCGCGTATCCAGACCTTACAAGCTTCGACACTTTCTTGCAGAGCCTTTCGGAGTCGGACCTCAGTGATATGGGGGTCTCAGATGCACTACACTCAGTCCAGGCAGCCCGAGCCAGGAAAGCCTTGCGCTCCGCACACAAGGCGCAGGAAGGACCTCAGCCTTCGCCTGCCTTGCCATCCCTCCCAGCAGCCCTCACCCCTTCTGCCACGCCATCCTCTTGGATGGAGCATTTGCCGCCGAAACTCAGCTCAGAGGTCGTCCAGGATCTGGTATTAAAGCCAACTATCCGGGCGAACTCTTGGACGATGACACCATGCCGTCAATACGCCTTCTCAGCCTCGTGCAACACAGCCTTCAGCCAGGAGAAAGCTCAAATGGATACCATGGCAGCTCCGCCTTAGCTCCAAACAGTACTCCGAAATTATGGAGGCCAAGTCATCTAAGCCTATGAGGACGGAGGCACAGCTGCTCGCCTCAGCCATATATGACGACACTCCTGAGATGGCCGTATCTCATCTCCGCCTTTTCGGTGTCCTGGCTGCAGCGCATCCAAACAGTGTTCAGGAACGCCTGGGCACTGTGTGGAGCAGCCCACCTGAAAGCCTTTGACAAGCGAGTCGAGCACTTGGCCTTGCCAGACCTAGCCGACTCCTCCCTTCGGGGACCAACTACGCAGGAGCTCCTGGCAGCTGACCGCAAGATTTGGAACACCATCTCTAGCCTGGCTGGAGCCTTGATGAAGCCTTGTACGAGGTCACCAGCATTCGAAGTGACCTAGCCAACTTGCTTCAGCCGAGACCGCGGCCGCCACCGACACCGCCGGGCCCTAACCGCCGACCCAACGGGGGAAACCCGCCTCCCCCGCCAAGCAAAAGGATTCGCCTTAACGCGCCAACCACCGAGAAAGGCGGCAAGGGAAAGGGCCGCGGGAAAGGCCTTCAGAAGCCAGATAGCCCATCCAAGTCCGATTCCTGGCTGTCTAACTGGGTCTTGAAAGCCAAGGGCAAAGTGCTTTGTTAGCGTTACCAGAGAAATCTCTGCGCCTTGCCCAATTGCAAATTCGCCCACCTGTGCGCGGTCCGAGGCTGCGGCAAGGAGCACTGTGCCATCGACCATGACAAGAAGCCGTCCTGACTAGGCCCTGCAACAGAGACTCATCAGCACCAACACTTTCAGCCACCTCCCAGGCAGACACCCGAAGCCTCACAAGCTGCGTCCATGGAGCAGCCTCAGCCATCCAATAGTCCATCCCGAGCCGCAGAGCAGCAGCATCCGCATCAGAGGTCCGGCAGGATCTCCCACGAAGATCCCCAGCAGCTGCCAGACCTTCTTCTTCAAGCCATCTGGTCACGGGTCGTCCTCGGCGTCCTCGCAGACCTTAGCTCACTAGCCCCTCACCTCGAAGAAGCCTGCGCCTTTTTGCAAGCCATACGCTCCTCCGGAGCCTCAGCCCTCCTGTTCGTGCCAGCAGACCATTTCCTCTTCCAGGCACCGCCTTTCTGTGAAGCGGTCCATGACGGCGGACTCTTCCTCTGCCCGGAGCCAGACTCAGATAGAATAATACTAGCCACAGCTCCTCTACCGTGCGGACCCGGGTCTGGCAGCCTTGGAAGCCGCCGGCATGTTTGCGGCGATGCCACTTTCTACCAAACCCACCCAGCCTCTAACCCTCGCCTCAGCCTTGCAGAGCCATGGAGAGCTGGCTCACAACAGAACCCCTATCTGTGACGGGGCCGGCAACGCCAGCTCCGCGGAGTGGAGCCGACCTAAGCCGAGCCCCGCGGCCATGCAGGACACCATGCAAGCTTGGCTCAAGTGGGCCTCTCAGCGCGACTTGCCCAAGCGAGTCTTTGCCCACCTATCTCAAAGCAAGCCGGATCACCCCATCCCTCAAGAAGACCAGCTCGAGCTCATTCGGATAGCCTGCGAGGTCATGGAGTGGGATTACCATTCCATGATCCAAGCTGCCGAAGGACAGCCATTTCGCCTTAACCTTATGCAAGCCTTTGCGGATCTTCTCAACGACCCGGACAAAGACCTCCCAGCCCTGCTCCGAGTCGGGGTACACACGGGAGTCTTTGATTCCATTGAGCCCTCAGGGCTTTGGCCACTCGCCAAGATCCAGCCCCTGGCCTCATCAGGACTGGAAGTCTGTGAGGGAAATTGGAAGCCTGCTGAGGCAGACCCTGACACGGTACTCAGCCTTCTGGCGGAGGAAGAAGCAGCAGGATGGATCCAGCCCGTACCGGGCGGCCTCCAGGAAGCCAAACGACTTTGGCCCAAGAGCATAGCCGTCGGTAAGCTTAGCCTTGTGAAAGCGGAGAACAGAGCCGAGGGTCGTCCTGGATAGCACGGTGTGCCAGGTCAACCCCATGTGCCGCATCCCAGAAGCGGTTGCCATGCCTACGGTCAACGATGTCCGAGCCACCTTCATGCCCTCAGATCCTAGGGGATCATTCCTCGCAGCCAGCGTGGATTTCAAGGCAGCCCACAAGCGAGTCAAAGTCCACAAGGCATGTGAATCTGTAGCACATCGCAGCACTGGCTCTAGCACTTGAGTCTTCTCGAAAAGCCCCGCCCACCCACACCTAGGCTATTCGCCTTCGGCCCCGGCCTCAGCCTCTGTCTGGCCTCTCTTAGTTCAGCCTTGAACCGACTTGGCGGTATAGTCCCGCAGTTCAGCTTTGAACTACTTTGTGGTCCTCCAGCGAGGCCCGTCGCTCACACAAGCTGAGCTTGCTCCTTTGCCACGGTGACTTGCATCAGGTTCGCCGTCTAGCCTACTGGCCCTGCCTCAGCTTGCCTTTGCGGTGCTCCCTAGTGCCCTAACCCCTTCGGTTACCCGCCCGAACCCGCCTCGCCAGGTACTTCGGTCTGCGAGCCCGTCACATCCTCTTCGACTTCACACACTGAAGGCGTTTACTTTCTCTGATGAGTTTCACGGAGCGATCTCTTCCTGCCTCAGGTCGAGCCGTTAGCCTTTGCCTTTCTGAGGGGCCTTGCATGCTCTTCAGGCCCCTTGTAGCGTTGCCTCATACTTCTCAGCCTCTGAGAATCAGTCTCACCGCTCCTTTGGAGCTCACATTTTGGCCTTTTCAGAAGTTTCACGGACTTCTCACAAAGACTAGCCTTGGGGGAGTTTATGCCTTGGCTAGCCCTCTAGACCTTGGCACCTCCGGGCTAGCCGCAAAGCCTTACAGATCCAATACGGTATAAAAGATGGCAGCAAGTGATAGAGCAGTGCAAGCCTTTCTAGAACGCCTGCCATCTTTTGCGAGCTGCTGCCTTGAGCATAAAGTCTCCTAAGGATGCGCCGGTGTTTGGGGCATTGGTGGCGATCAAACGACCGAATGTAGATAAGCTACCTTCATTTGTCGCCAAAACGAATCAATGAGTTTATCTGGGGGTAGATTAGAGCTACATTGACGGGGCAAACGTGTTGACTGATACTCCCGCGCCAATGAAAACAAAGAGTCGTGCGGAGCGTAGTTCCATCCCGGCGTGATGCAGCCCCGGGTTTTCCCAACTCGCTCACCGGTTGAAAAATTATGTAAACACAGAGGTTTTCAAAGCAGGACACGCTGATACACTTTTTGGAATTGCAATTGAGCCGCATTGTTTTTCAGCTTGTCCAAGTACCCATGTGCCCTGGAAGACGACGGCGCTTACCGTGAACAAAAGCGTCATTGCCGCTTCTGCCGCTGCCTCCGAGCTGCGCGCGTTGGGCGAGGACGATGAACGGAGCCTCCGAGAAGAGCGCCAGCTGCTCACTCGAGGCCGGCAGGGAAAATCGGACGGAGTTTGAAGTTCCAACAATTGTCGCTTCTCCTGAGGCGCTGCCAAAAGCTTGGAGATCTTGAGCTATGCTACAAGGCCGTCTTTTACTGGGTTTAAAGGTTTCACAGGCCTTCTGCGACGTGTGCTGATGGTGGAGTTCCTTTGCCACATGGCCTTCGAAGAAGCCTCGACCTGGGCTTTCCGTGTGCGGTCGCGGGGAAATTCACTGCAGCTTCGTCTCGGCCAAGCCAGCCAGGCGCCAGCCTCCATAGAAAGAGAGCAGTTCGATGGCAGGCTGTTGTAGCCGACCTGAGGCCCTCTCTGAATTACATCGTGCGCTGCAGGACAACAGTTCCAATGACATTGTTTTTCACGGCCCTCCTTCGTCTCCCATGGCCTGCAGGACCTCCCCAGTTACCGGCTCCTCGCGTTTCAAGAAATCCATGCGACGGGCCACTGGGGAAAAACATCCTCAGGCGGGCTGTCGTAAGTAGGGGCAAAGATTGGGCAAATATATTTTTCATGCCTCGTTATCTTGCCAGGTGCTGGCTCCTCAGCTGCTGCCACGGAGCCCCTCACTGGCAGGTTTCTGGTTTTCCTTTCACGACTGACCACCGGGCGGCTCGTCCGGCCAACGGCACTGCTAGACATAGGCTGTGGCTGGGGCGAGTGGTTGCCGACTGCGCTGCGTGCAGCTACGCGGACGAGACGGTTGCAGGGAACGGTTTTGTACCAGGGTCTGGACATCGCCCGGCGACCCATCCGGCACCTCCAAAGGAATTTTCAGAAGAAGGAAGGCGATTTCTCTGGCAATGTAACATTTCGCTTTGCAGCCGGGCGCTCAGGGACTGGGGGGTTCACCAGGGTGGTCCATGGTTTGTGGCTCGGGTCTCGAGGCCTTGGACGCATGCGCTGATACGTTGCCTCCCTTATCTCGGCCTTACTCCGTGGTGGTCGTACGTCATGCTCCTTGCAATGTTTGCAGCCACAGCTTTCACGCTGACAGACTGACAGAGAGTGTTCACGAGTGACGTCGGGCAGGTCTTCCAGCACTTGTCCATCAAGGATTCTCTGGACCTGCTCATGAACCTGAAGCGCCTGAAGCCCCTGCCGCGTTTCCTCCTCCTCTCCTCCTGGCGCCGGAAAGAGAACCGGGACCTCGAGGCCTTCGGCGGGCCAGGAGCCGAGGCGGAGGCGGAGGCGGAGGCGTGCTGGGAGCCGGGCATCCCTTTGCCGCGCTGTGCTCTCTGAGGTCCTCGGCCTTCAGCTTCGTCTCTCCGACGCCCGTGGCGGAGCGCTTTCGAGGATACGACCTGCGCAAAGCACCCTTTTGGCTTCGACCCTTTACCGCGTGGCCGGATATCGACGGAGAGATCCTGGCACTGCCTGCAACGTTTGCATCTGCGCTACTGCTGTTGTTGCCGTGCCACTTCTTTGACCCTGGACCCGTCTCGCCAGGTCTTGCAGGGACGCGTGCTGCGGGCGCTCCGCGGTCCGCCGCGAGCCGCCCGACGGTGGAAGCCGAGATGATGATCGCGCGCGGCGTCACTTCGCGCGCACTTTTGTCCGGTGAAGATCCGCGCTCCGACGCCGGAGCGCCGGAGCGCAAGCAGAAGCAGAAGCAGCAGCAACAGCGACCCAAGGCAAAGAGCGACAGGATACGGCAGGGACGCGGCAGCATGGAGAAGAAGACAGCGAGAAGCTTCGTGTGCCGACGGCCCTGGCGACCTGGCGACGGCGGCAGGCGGCGCAGAGCGGCGCACAGCCGTGCAGAGCGGCGTGGCCTGGAGAAAAAGTGGTTCGGTGTCAGTGCTGCGCTGCATCGTCGTGATTTCAGCTTCCAGTTGCCAGCCGCTAGCCGGCACGCGGCTGCACTCTTGAGGAGCTTCTGGCTCCCAGATGGTTCCGTGTCATTGTAGCTTTCCTCTCTTTAGCCCGCTTGGGCGAAGACATCTGCACATTGACTGGACGGAGACATGCTCGTCCAGAAGCATGCGTCTCTCTCTCTCTCTCTCTCTCTCTCTCTCTCTCTCTCTCTCTCTCTTTCTTCCTTCTCTGAGGTAGAAATGCCTGCTGGGCAGGGTGGGCTGCTCCTGCGCGTGCTGCCCCTGCTGCTGTCCTGCGCCCTGACGAACGCTCGACGCCGCGGCCTCCGAGGTTAGAGAGCAAAGAGCGAAAAGAGTAGCGAGAGCGGCTGCGTGGAGAGCGGATGTCGAGTCCGAGGTGTCCGAGCTGGGCTGGGGCGCGGCTACGCGGAGCGAGGCATCCTGGAGGACATCCAGGAGCTCACAAAAGGACCGCAGTCATCTGCATTTTATGAGTCTCAATTCTGATGTTTGAGGAGCTTCTTGGACCGGAGAGGTCTCAGGACAGGGCCTGAGCTGAGAGGGTCAGGGTCTGCTGTTGAACTTCTTCCAGGCGATCGGCTCTCGCACGCCTTTCATGGAAGAGGTCCTGAAGCACAGCTTCGAGGCCCTTCCAAAAAGTGGTCGCTGCCTCGATGGCCTAACCGGGTTTGAGCCACTTTGTCGCTTTTCGCGCGATGTGGTCGAGGAAACCACGTGGGTGCTGCCGTGGCAAATCATGCTCTGCACAGGACGCCCGACGTGATGTGACAGACGCGTGCGACCCATCTCGTCCCTTCCCTTGGCTCAGGCTGTTTCTGCAAGTTCACAGCTGGCAGATGAAGGTGAGTCGGTATGAGGTATGAGGGTGCGTGTCGTTTTCTGTCGGCCTTGGGTCTTCCGTCACTTCTCAGGGCTTGCAGCCTGTTGCTGGTGCGTGGCACGAGCACAGCCCCACCATTGCACTCAAGCGCGCGCCTGCAAAACTGAACTGGGCTCAGTTTGGCAGAGTTGCAGCGCTTGCGGGCACATAAAGAGTTCCAAGGCGCGATGTCTTTGACCAAAAGCTGCGGCAGCGCGGGCTGAACTTGAATGTCCCTCGACCATTGCATGTGCAATGCTCGTCGCTGTGGCGGAACTTTACGGAGAGATTTTCTGTTTCAGGAGCTCTCCGTTCTCGCTGCAACGATCGAAGAGCTCGTGCGAAATGAAGCAGACGTGCTGCTGAACGCCTCCTGCCGAGCACACAAGACCTAGCAGAATGCGCAACGTAAGCGCGCGGCACAGGATTTGAAATGCCAGTCGCACTTCGCCGTGAGGTGAGCTACCAGGCAGCGACGGGCTTCTCGGCGGGCGGCAAGGGCTTGGAAGCGAGCGCCGCCCAGGAGGCGCCGCGAAGGATGCGCGAAAAAAACCGCCTTCGTTCCCGGCCGCGAGGTCATGGAGTACTACATGTCCAGCTCCTCGGCACTCGGAGACTCAGACTGGGCTCTCTGCCAGGGGTGCCTTGTGTCGGCCGCAGGCTACATCCTGGGAACAGAGTCTTCGGCGCTGACCGCAGCTCCCTCAGCAAGTACGAGGTAGCAGCATACTCGTGCAGTATCGTACAACGCCTTGCAAGGCTTCGGAGCTCCAGGCACTCCACCAGAACATCGGGACCGACCCGTCATGCCACCTGGCGTAGCGTAGCGCTCTTCGCTCTCAAAAAACCACAAGTTTCAGGAGCTACCCGCGGTGGAAGGAGGTGCGGGAACTTCTGAAAGAGGCCACTGCCGAGGTCGCAGAGACAGGCGCCGAACTCCTTCACTTTCAGACCATGCACCTTGGCCTTGGACTGTCAGAAGACTTCATAACTTCATGGGGCGACATGTTCAGCAGTGCACGGATCCACCTCATTATCGAACGCAGGGTGCATTGCATTAGGATCTGTCGGATCTGGTCTCATCCGTTGTGTTTTTGCGTTGCTGACGTGTGGAGTGGGGACGTGTTCCAGGTTGTCTATCCTGCTGCTGACGTCTGACCGTTTCGCGCGATTAGAGGTCATGCTGTCTTTGTGTCTTGACATCCCGCGCCATCGCGCCCAAGCGTAGGAGAAGGAGTGCCAAACGTTGAAGCGCCAGCTGGTGGCGATGGAGGAGGGCCGAAATGTCTGTTTATCTTGCAGGGATTGCCCGGCGGCCAGGAGCGACCTGGTCGGGTTCTTCTTCGAGACTTCTACCGGCCCGCCCTTGACCAGGCCTTCACCCTTGAGCGCGCTTCGCCCCGCTTCGCCTCGCTTCACGGCGATGTGACCTCCAGGGGACCTTGGAGTTCACTGAGAGTGCAGACTTCTTGCGGCAACAAGGCGCCGCCGGAACAGCTTTCCTGAAAGCGAGCAGACAGATCTGACAGGGGCGCTGGACGAGTCGGATCAGGAGTTTGAGTCCCAGGTGTCAATAAGCGATGCGACGCAGATTAGCACACGCGGTGTTCCGAGGGCTCGCGTCATCGTGCCCAATTACATGATGGCAGTGGCCTGAGCGGACAGCAAAAGATGCGGTAGATGCGCGGTATCGATGCGTGTCGAGGCGGACTCCAACTGCTTGGCGTCCTCAGAGTACTACTCGGTGTGTTGCAAGGATCCTTGCGAGGAGAGGCTGCGAGGCTGCGCTTCAGAGAGGGGACCTCTGCCGCCTCTGCCGTTTGCAGGAGATCATGGATCAACTGGAGGCCTCCCTGAGAGCCCCCAGTCGGGGGCCCTTGTGGAAAGGAGGGGGCAGCAGTGGCTTTGATTGGCAAATTTTGTCACAAAACCAGGTGCCTCCCCAAGTGCACTGCTCAGAGCGGCCTGGGGTCCCAGCACAAAAGAAATCTACAAAAAACACATGCGGCATCCTGGGCGGCCTTGTGGCCCGGCAATGCCCGGCAGGTGCAGGCCCTCCCCGAGGCCAAGGCCGCCAAGGCCTTGGAAGGCGAACTCTTCGAGAGGCTGTCGGTGAAAACCGGGCCCTGCGACGCTGCGTTTCGCGCGAAGATCTGCGAGGCTGTCGGAGGCTTCGCACCATGGCGAGGCCGCCGCAGATGCGACCTGGCGCGACCTATCATTGCAGAACCACGCATATTGGGAGGTCCCGCTGCACGGTCGGCTCTTCGCGCAGCTCGGATCTACATTTCACGTTTACAGATGCGCAGCCCTGCACCCTTCGCATCACCAGTCGCTGCGCATGCTCGCTGCTCTAAGGCAATGGCTGCACCACGCCTTCCCCCGAGACTGCCCCTTTCCGCACGTTTCCGGCACTGCGCGGCAGAGTCTTGCGCAGTTTCAGGAGGTGCCAGCCGGTGTGTATTTGAGGAATGCCTGATGCGGTATTTGGTATTCGCTTCACGCAGGAGCGACATGAGCGTGCAGCTTTCGCCGAGTACAACGAGATGCAGGAGATTGTCAACCTGACTCTCGACGCCAAGTACGAGCCCGCATTAGCACAGTTTGATCGATCGCAGGCGGCCGTTGCTCTTCCAAGAAAACAGAATGCAATTTACCAATACTACAAGTAACAGAACCGAAGAAGTGCAGTTCTCCAGAGCTCCGCGTGTTGGAGTTCCTTAACATGTCGGGAAAAACACGTTGCAAGTAGGAAGTCACCAATAACCTCAAGATAGGACGCTGAAGATTGGAACATGCGATGGTGGAGCGAGCGCAGCTGGCAGCAAACAAGAATGAAGTCAGCAAGCCCTTCTCAAAGCGCTATGCCGCTATGCCCTCTTAAGACACGCAAGGAAAAGCTCTGTGCGGACTCTCGTTTTCCGTGGCTGCAAAGGCTTACTGGTTTTGCTCACAGAAGGGGCGCAGGGACTGATGTCCCAAACATCATTCCTGGTGTGGTTGCCGCTGCTCTTGCTGTGTCCCTTCTAGAATTCTAGAATCTGAAGATACTTGTCACACGGAAAGAAGACAGCAAGCCTGAATGAGAGTGATTGTACTAGACTAACTGTCAATGCAGATTGTGTCCGGAGTTCATGGGCTGGAGGGTGTGTGGTGTGTGCATGAGAAGGCTGGAGACATGCATGGTGCTCACGATCTCATCCATGCCCGAGCCGTATGATGATGTCCACTCAGGCCCATGCGCATCCGCAGTAACATCCCCGCAGACTCCATCTGATTATCAGCGCATCCATGCCATGCCGGAACCGTCGTACAAGCTACATCCGACTACCTTCATGCCCGAACCACAATGTCCACTGTCCACAAACCTGAGTTTTTTGAAGGCCATCGCGCGCTTCTATGCAGCAATGCATCCAGAGCTCACGAAGGTGTGTGCTTCTACAAAGCTCTGTTTCTGAAGGCCGTTACACGCTTGGGTCGCAAGGCAGGTTGATAATTCAGGACACGAGAGTTCTGTCACGCGCATGAAATGGTCCGAGGTGGAAGCAATTTCCGGTTCTACTTTCCTCTTGAAATTGTGCCAACGCTCGAGTTTGAAGCACAGTCTATGTCAACAAGCCCACAGGGGCAAGATACGCGCGCAAACACGTGAGACCTAGTTGATTGGGAAGCTGCAGCTGCTGTAGTCCTCTCGGACTCCCCCACACCCCCAGCCCCATAACACGCAAATCGCAGCGAAGACGACAGTCACTGTACTCACTGCCTTTGCGTGTGTTCCAACATCATGGCCGCCGCTGTAAACGCTGGACAGAAAACCCTACGCCAGCACAAGCAACCCGATCTATACTTTGACGGTGTGAAACTGAGCTTGGTGTTCAAGTACACGGATGGTGAGAAAGGCGACTTTTTTTCGGGAGCTGCTTGTCAGACAGTTCATCCTGACATTGAACACATTAGACCCTGGCGAATCCGTTCGGTCCAGCTTGTGTTTCGTATTGAGCACGACGCCGAAGATCGATTCAAAGATTTGGAGCTCTTTGTCCGGGTGTCGGGTCTGGTCCTGGGACTTCTGGTGGTCAGGCGGCTGCTTTCACCGCTTTTAATGTTGAAATCCTGAGCGGAGCCGCGATTGTCTTCTTGAAGCCTCCACGAAACAGCAGCCGAGGCACTCGAACACGTCGACTCCTTCGGAGCGTTCTCACGTTCAGCAGCAACTTTCTTTTTTGTGACTCTTTGACGCTCGTGATTTTACCTCGTTTTGGCTCTCCTTCGCAGGACGCTTTCGGCATGTGGTTGGATGACGAGGAGTTGCTGGACAGTCGCGTTTTTGGATCCCAGAGGACGGAAGCCTCTCCAGGTCGACTTCAGGCCCACACCAGGGCCCCAATGCGCTCACGAGGACATGGCCATGGCCGCCGTGGCCCATTGCCATGCTTGGATTGGTGGCCGTGGCGCTGAGGTTTCGTGATCGAGGCGTTGTGCATGCTTGGCTTTTTGGCATATTCATGGCCTGTACCCTCTTGGCTTTGTGTGTCCTAAGAAGCATGCTGCAACATGTGTTTCTAGAATGAACAGTGCATTCATCTTCGGAGCAGGTTGAACACTGATACCGGAGCATATTCGCAGCTCAGTCTTCCACCCTGGCACTTCCCTCCTGAATTGTGCGACAGTCCCAGCGCGTGGTACACGGTCCGACTGGAGCTTTCATACGCCGGATCATGATGTCTACGGGCGGGAAGTGAGTGCCGATAATGCAGATTGGGTGGGACCCCATCATTGTGGAGTCATTCCGTGACGAACCATCCAACGAACGTCCAGCTTTGCTCCACTGGCGCTTCAGGAACGCACTCGCAGGGTACAGAGGACGACCGTGTTTGCCAGCAACCCTTCTAGTTACACAGAACATCGAGGGTGTGTGGCTAGAACAGACACAAGGTATGCAAATGTGAACAAGCCGTAGTTTGCGCCCATGTCGTATGCCGTCCAGGCTTCAGATCTCACTCAAGGGCTCGATCCACAAGGGCAGACGAAATGTCGAGCTTTCAAAGAACACACTCATATTGTGATATTTTAGTACATCGAATCAGGAATTATGGTCTGTGTATTCATGTCATGTGTCGAGTTTGGCAGGCTTGGGTGCGCATGTGTCATTTGTTATATTTTGTTATCGTTCATCCCTGTAACGCCTTAGTAGCCTATTAAAAGGCGCTGCAAGCGCAAGTGGCCCATATTTAGCGTATACGTCTACGTATAATAGAACAGATTTCTTTGCGGGATTATGCTTAAAACCAGCTCCTTTGGAAAGTAGCCTGTTTTGAAGTCGTGCCCCGCGGGAATCACTGCCGCTGAGGCCTTTTCGGCCGAGATGATGGCTGCAGCGCACAATGCTGGCCGGTTTCATACGTTGCGATTCACTAACTTACGCATATACAGTCCGGATATTGTATAAGACCAGGATCCATGCATTGCATAATGCGTATAATTTATACACTTTGTACATTAAAAGCCGCGATCACCCAAGCTGCGCAGCCATGGCTTCGCGTGTCCTGAATGGGCACACGAAGGACAGAGTAATACAAGTGAGTTCTGACCAATATACGTGCAACAGAAGGAGAACCCTTGGTCATCCTCCTCTTCATATGGATCGCCATGATCACGCAGACGGTGTTGCCTGCGTGTTTGAGCGAATATATTGCCTTCTTCGTTCGCCGGTGTTTTCATGCGCTGGTGGGCATGCTCATGAACGTGTTGCTTGTTCCATTCAGGCTTGTTGGGCTCAAACCAATCTTGAAGTTGGAGTGCTCCCGACTGCAGCTATGAAGCTGGCTAAGGATTTGGAGAAAATCCGCAAGATTCGCCGTCGCCTTGCGAAGAGCAAGCCCATTGTTATGATGCCAACAGGTGGGAAAACACCGGATACAAAGCTGGTTGGTACTGTGGCCTTGCAGTGCAACAGCGATGCCATGCTTGTTATGGCAAAGTATTTCGGTGTTGAGAAGCGTGCTACCATTCCCTTCCTAGAAAAGGAGGTTCCCTATCACGCAATTTATGCATGCATGCAGCATCATGAACATCTGTCGCACGGAGTTTTTGCTACAAGCTATGTCCCAGGTTCAAAAGCTCTTCGAGACCGTGGGTCACGATGCCGGAAACAAGGAGGCCCTGCGTATCGAGGGCAAACACCTCGCGAGTTTTGGTTGCGTTTTCTTGCGCTGATACGACTCCATGAGCTAAACCTTTGCTTGTCTGCATAATCACAGGGCTTGTGTAATGAAGCTCAGGACAAGGGAGTTCGGCAGCTTTTCCGAATGATCCAGCGGGCCCGCAATGAGCTCGCAGATCATGGTGAAGCCGAGCCTGAGGATATTCAGGCTCCGGGTGCGGATGAACGCGGTCATGATCCCGAGATGATTGAAAGTGCATGGGATGATGAATGGCTCACGGAGGATGCCGAATCGGAGGCCGCCGAGGATGATGAGGAGATGACCGACGCCGAGCAGGAAGCTATTAAAGCCGGCTTCAGGGGAACCGTATTTGAAGCCTTATTGAAGCCAGTCCTGGGAGAGGCTTCCAAATACGAAGCCCTATATTGAAGCCGGCTTCAAACTACCAGTTTACTTAAACTGGTGCCGTACTCTATTTCAAAGTATTGGGGAAGTGTATTTGGAAGCCTCTCCCAGGACTGGCTTCAATAAGGCTTCAAATACGGTTCCCCTGAAGCCGGCTTCAATAGCTTCCCCAATACTGGGACTGCTGGAGTGAACCAGCAGGTTGAGTGGAGGATGCAAGTGGAGTGATCAGGTCCCCTGCAAAACTCAACCCTGCCATAGCTCACACAAGGCGGAGATTTTACGCACAAGAACAAAGCAAGCAAAAAGAAGTCTGTGCTACTTGGGCTTGGCACCTACAGATATGGTACATGTGTTGTTAAAATGTCATGCTCAAGGCGTTCTGTGCTTGGGCCTAAGAGCAACAAGGAAAAAGATTCCGCATGTACACATAGCAAAGGCTTGCAAACGAGGCATGCACTTCAGCACTCCTCCTTCGCAGCCCCGCCAGGGAGTTGCGACCTACTTGCTACTGCAGGTCCAACCCGTCAGGGTGACGACACACCTACCCTGAACTACCTGGCAAAAGCTGGGCCAACTGCCCTCACTATGCGAGGGCTCTCAAGGCACCTCGTGTAGGAAAAAGACACAGCTACGGATGAGCTCACTGAGAGATCCAACCCGTTAGGGTGGAGTAGTTCCTACCCTGTGCTGTGCTGGGTGTGGTCTGCAGCGCTGCCGTGGCACTGCTGGCACACTTGAAACTCAACAAACCTGTGCGAGTGGGCGAGCGTGGAACAGGTCTTAGTGCGGTGGAGCTTGGTCCCTTCGGGGGTTGCAAAGTAACGCGTTGGTGCTCCACCTGCCTGCTCACGCGTGCGAGTTGTTTGTGAGGGACGGCGTCTGGGCGCTGCAGCAACAGACTGCGAGCTTGCTGCCTCCTCACGTGCAGAGATCTCGGCCTGGATGGCCTGCGCAGTTTGATCTCGAAGGCGCTGTAACTTGCGCGCCTTGCGGGGGCTCAGAGACAACACGGGTGTCCCTGCCTCTCGGCGGGAGATGACGCCTTGAAGGCACCACTTGAAGAACTCCCACACTGCAATGAAGCAGATACCAATGCAGATGATGGATACTGCCAACATCAAATCTGCATCAAGCGACACGGGGAGAGACAAGTCTTCTTCCTCGTCCGTTGTCTGGCTGGCAGCACCTACGACCTGAAAGAAGGCGAGCAGGACAGCGAAGGCACTCAGCTGCAGGTCTTGCTGCGCCACGGTCCCAGTGCCCACAGCTTGAGTTTCACTGTAGGCCTGAGCTTCCGCCCGGCGAGGTACGCCATGCTCGCGCAAACCCCAGATGGCTGCGAGCTCAAGGATCCTCGCAGATGGCAGCGCCTTCGTCAGAAGATCTGCGGCCTGCTCAACTCCTGGGCAGTAGACAGGGATGATCTCACCAGACTCATACTGCTCTCGAAGGTAGTTGGCGCGCACCCTTAGGTGGCGGGTTCGCCAAGACCCTTGGCCGATAGCGATGGCCAGTGCAGACTGTGAGTCAACCCTCAAAGTCTTGTCGAAGCTCGAAACCCCGAACTCGCTCAGCATGGCCTCTGCTGACTGAAGGGCAACTACAGCGTCAAGTCCAGCAACAAGCTCGGCTTCTGCGGTGCTGAGGGTGACAAAAGACTGTCGTGCTGAACGCCAGCACACCGGCGACCCGTGAAGGAAAACCACCCACCCCGTGTGAGAACGATTCCCTTCCGGCGCATAGCTGGCATCACTATACGCGATCAATCCTGTGTCATCCGCATCAGCGGTGAGAGCCAGCGCCTTGGTACGCTGCACATACGCAAGGGCCTTCTCTGCAATGCGGATGGCTCGTTGCGGCGCCTTCGTGCTGAGAGAAGCAAGCACACAAGCAGTGAAAGCTAAGTCAGGCCGAGTGCGTTGGCTTAGCCACAGGATTTCTCCAGTCAGCCTCTGTGCTGTTCGAACGGTCTCCTCGGTTGGGGACTCGTCCGTCAGGAGAGTGTCAAACGAAACAAGGTCACGCGGACAGGGGACCTTACCTAGTGCAGTGGGCTTCACGTCGTTGAGACGCAGCAGCTCTTCTGCGTAAGCCTGCTGGGACAACACAAACCCGGAACCTTGCACTAGGATTTCAACCCCTAAAAACCTCAGCGGGAGCTCTGCGGTGGCAAGTGCGAGAGGCGTCGTCTTCCAGATGCCTTGGATGGCCGTGGCCAAGGCTTCGATCACCTCTTTACTGCCTGCAAGCAAAAAGTCGTCAACGTAAGTGAGCAACCCTCCTACGACTACCCCGTCAGAGGTGCGAACAACACGCCACCAGTTTGGGTCCAACCTTCCTTGCTGGAGCTGCAGTTCAACTCCGTCAACAACACACCTTAGGGCCCGAAGTTGGCAGTCTCTAAAGTCCGACCAAAGCTTAGGCGACTCCCTCAACCCGTACACAGCGTGCGTGAGGATCCAAAGCTCCCCTTCCTCTGCCAAACCTAGTCTCACTAGCAACCTAGGCGGAGTGAGAGCAAACACTGGAAAACCTCTGCCTTGCGGGATTGGGGTCAACAGAAAAGCTGAGGTGACATCTAGAGACCCGATGCACCAATTCCTCTTGGAGCTGATGATTACAAAACAACGGAGTGTCTCTGCAGCAGCACCTGAAGCGTAGACTTCAGACCCTGTGCCGGGGGCGTGGTTGCCACAAGCGACCAAGCGAGCCTTGCGTTTGTGGTAAGCTTGACCCTTCCGGGTAGCGAGGGCAGCGTCACCCTCAGAAGGGTCTGGTGGCTTGACTGTAAACACAAACTTAGACGGAACTACCTTCACTTCCTTACGCCTAAGCCAACCTCCCGAACGGACCTCTGCAGGGGGCAGTCGCCGCACAGCCTTCTCAATGACACCGATCTCTTTGTGAATGGACGGCATCCACTTCTCGATGCATTGCTCTGCATCCCGAGGGTCTACAGTGTGGACTACCTGCAGTGGTTCCTGCAACCCGTCAAGCAACAGCTCCACGTTGGTAGTGTAAACCGGCTCAGACTTGCAAAGGGCGCAAGCTTCACTCGCGTCCGAGTCGTCAGACCTGAGAACACACAGCTGCTCACCTGTCTGCGGGTCTGGAACCCACAACTCCCACAGCACTGGTTGCTCCGGCAAGGAGTCTTCGCTTAAGCTCTCCTCCTCCTCAACCTGTGTCTCGGTGTCTGGTTGGCAAGCCAGCAGGGCGTGCTCAGACTGGGTTCGCCTTTGGTCCGGCGAGTGTTTCAGGTTCCACGACACCTCCAGCTCTACAGTACCTGCTTCTACGGCTTGGGTTTCTTTCCAACCTCCGCCTTTAAGCACAGTCCCAGGCGCTAACTCAGAAGCCTTCCCGTCAGGGTGACGTGCCTTTGTCTCCTGAAGGGGCTCTTCTTCGAAGCAGTCAAACGCGTCGAGACGTCTCACGTCTTGCTGCTCAGTCAGCGGTAAACGTACCGAGGCTGGGAGTGGAAAACCTAAAGCTTCAAGGCTTTGAAACTCGTGCTCAAGCTCTTTGCCTAACGTGTTGACTGTGTAGCCGACAAGCACTGCTCTCTCACCCTTCCAGGGAGTGGTGGCGTGGCGGCGAGTAGGGTCTAGGAAGAAGGGCTTACCGCGCTCTAACTTGTGAGTTGTCCCTAACCAGCGCCTGCCTTTGCCGTCTACCCGCTCCTCTACAGGGCCACTGACTAGGTCACCAGGCTTGAGTTCTATCCACAAATCCCCTCCGTTAGGCGGGAGCTTCAAAGGGAGGACTACATTTGTGGATCCCTGCAGGTTGTGGTGGTCGGCGTGCACGGGTTGAACAGTGGAGTTAGACAACCAAAGCGAGGTGTACTCTGCTGTGGGTGCAACTGCCGAAAGCACCATATTCATAAGCTCTGTCAGCCAAGGCTTATCTGTGGTACCCCCTAAAACTCCTACGACACCTCCGTGACGGTACAACCCAGCTTTGTGTTGCAGCTGGGGCGCTGCTCTGCACACTTCGGCTAACACCCACAACGCTTCATCAAGGTCCCAGTCGTCCTCGATAAGCTCCGTAGCTAAACCTTCAAGGTCTTGCAGACTCAAGCGCGCTACACGGGCAGACTCCTCCTCAACCGGTGACACAGGCCCTTCCGGGTGTGGAGCTTCTGCTGGCGGCGGCAAGGGGGGCGGCGGGTCAAGTGCAAAGACGTCGTCAAGTCTCACACCAGCAGACCGCTTGCCGCGAACCCTGCGTGGAGGTGGTGTGTGCTCCTCCTCAAGCGAGTCTCCTACAAACTGCAAGGGCGGTGGATCCGGAGAAACAAGGCGGGTGCGAACATGGAGTGTTTGCACAAAGCCGTTGCCAACACCATCGCTGCGCAACACGATGTGACCATCATTCACAGATGGTGACAACCCCATATACTTACCTTCAACCCATCTATCCTCCAAATCACCCTTCTTGCTAAAAAACTTTCGCTTCACGGAACACTTCCCTCCGAAATGGATGGCAAGTTTGGACTTCATGCCCAGCTGCTGCGCCCGTTGCTGAGCCGCAGCTGTCATGATTGCACAAGGCCACAAGGACGAGTCAACCTCGCCAGAGGTGAGAAGGGTTCGTGCTCGTGCTTTGAGCCAGCGCACGGTGTTCTCAGCAGAGCCGTTCTGCTGCGGAACGTCCCCTTCTGTTGTTGTTGTGCGGACTCCACGCTCGTGAAACCAAGCTCGAGTCCTTTTGTTGAAGAACTCACGACTGCGGTCTGTGTGGAAACGAAGCACGGGGAGGTTTAGGGACCTTAGGGTAATGTACACCTGTTGGAGGGCATTGAGGATATCATCACCCTTGTTTGTGTGAAGTGGCACTGCAAACACCAGCCTCGCCATGTCAGGCGGTGTTTCGAGTTCACACCTGGCTGACTCCCAGGGATGCTCCTCGGCAACTTTGGCTGCAAACTCCCTAGGACATTCAACTCCTTCACCTTCCGCCTCCTCCTCTTCTTCCGCTAAACTTGGCTCGTACAGGGAGTCCTCGTAATCCTCGCACGGGGGGCCTTCTGCTGCGGGAAAGGCCTCATCTGCAAGGTCATCCGTCCCTCCCGGGAGGAGTGCTGCATCATCAAACCCCTCGGTTTGGCTGGGGTCTGACTCCTCCTTCACTCCTCTGAGCCGTGGGAAGCGGTACGACACAGCGAGGAAGTACTTGAACGTGGCTGGTCGGTGGTTGCGGCTTTCTGGGTCTTTGCCCTTCACACGGATGGGCCCCGCAATGTCGGCTGACATGCAATACACATCCGGGTGAACTACACCGTGGTGGCGGCGGCCGTTTCCGGCACCGTGCACGCAAACTGCACAATCACGGCGGTAAGGCACGTGATTGTTCGCAACATGCTGTTCCCAATCCGCTTGGGTGAATTTCATGAGGCGGTAACATGGCCACCGTTGGAGTGCGTACACGATGGCTTGCACAAACCCCGGCGCCCACACTGGAGACACACGGTTGTCGGCGCTAGAACAAACCTGCGGCACCTCCCCCTGCAACGCTTGCAAGTCTCTAAGGTCGGGCAAGTTTGTGCCAACAGTTGTGGGTTTATCGCCAGCGTGCCCCAACGGACCTTGACGGAAATGCACCTCAAACAAACCAGCCTCTTCAGCGTAAGCTTGCCACAGCGCGGTGTTCCAAAACGACGGAGCGCTACCCACAGCAGAATGGCTTGAAGCCATGTGGTGTTCAACCGACGGTTGCTCCAACATGAATGCCACCATGGATGTTCCATTCGATGGGTTTGGGTGCACACGCCTCCCGGCGGTGGAGAGTGCATGCAACCACAACATGCGAGCATACAAACCCGTATCACGATCAACGAGATCACGCTCGTCAGAGGTGAGAGTGCTCAGGCCAAACGGTTCAGTGGGCGAGCGGAGTGGATGTGGTCCATCGGCGCGGTGCCCTGTCATGGACCACGTGCGGGTTGGTGGACCTCCAATGACCGCCGCAACTCGTCCCAACTTTGCAACCTTAGCAAGAAGCGTCCAAAGCGGATCATGGTAAAGATCTTGGCTCCTTGAGCGGCAAATGTCAAGCTCAACAACAACTGTATCCTGCGACTCCAATCGTTTGAAAGCCTTGTGCGAGCCAGGGCCCGCAAACAAATGAACAACCCAATTGGATGCGCGATGAAGCGCCTTCCTCCTTCGCCGGTTGAGGTTTGGCATGCCTTCTTCAAGAGCTTTCCACAAAGTCTTGGAGTCCACAGCTTCCGATGGGAGTATGCCTGACAATGCACGGTCGGGCACATCCTGAAAGAATGGAGCTGTTGACACTGCCATGTGGCCCGATGCCGGCGCCGACGAGCTCACATGCTCAACCAAATGATCCCACCACGTGCGCTCCATTGCGATTTTCGCCTGTCTGATGCGATCCTTCCCCTCATCCGTTCTTCGCCTGAGCTCCTCAACCTGTTGCATTTTGTGCTCTTCCAACCGTGATATCAGCGTAAGGGCTTGGCTCTCAACCAATTCCGGGCAACCATTTTTGACCCTAAGCCTCAACGACTTACCATCAGGAGGATACAGCTTGCAACTACCGGCGGACCAAACCAGCTTATACCCCAACTGCTCTATGATAGCACCCATGGGAACAATTGGCTGCACTAGGCCGTCCCTTCCGGGTGGCAGTAGGAGAGTGCCCGCGCGCGTCAAACGCATGATTGTGCTTTGGTCGCCGGCTAGACTCACTTGCACTTCCTCTGCGGTCTCCCACTCCTCCTCAGATGAGGCTTGTCGCATGGGGTGAGTGGCACCGGAGTCGAGAAGGGCGTAGCCAATGAGAGGTGGTTGGGATGCAACGGGTGATGGCTCCACAGCGGGCTCAACGGCAGGAGAATTCAAAATTTCCCGGTTTGGGGGGCCCGAAACCGGGAAACAACTTGAGGGCATGACGGAGCGAATCGTGAGCCTCTTCACCGAAGGATTAGGTGCCGAGGACTGTTGTGATGCAGTACTCAAGCCTTCCGGCTGAGGCTGAGGCGGATCGCTACGCGGTGGCTGGGGATCGAGCTGCCTCAAAGCTTGGACTGCCTGTTGCATAAAGGACTCGAGCGTGACGGGCATGCCATTCGCGATAGGTGTAGCCTGCACTGGCGCTTGAGGTGTTGATGCTGATGGTGATGTTGCATCCTGTGCTGCTGTTGTGGTCCTTTGCACCGTGGGCTTATCGGGTGATTTGGCATCGGACTTCGCGCCCTTGCCAACGGGACAATCCTTTGCACGATGCTCCTCAGAGCCACACACCAAACACTTTTTAAACCGCTCAGCCTTAGAGAGCTCGGTCATGGAATGTGGGAATTTGCACTTAGGGCCATTTCTACACCCCTTCCGGGAGAGAAAGAACTTACACGGCTTGGCACCTGCTCCTCCCGAGCCTTTCCCCTGCCCCTGAGGTTGGTTTCCACCACCTGGTGCATCTGTGGTTGCATTCAACGCTTGGGCTTTGGGATTGGTGACTACGCGCTTTGAGTCCAGTGCCCCAGCCATGGTTTCAAACTCACCCAGCAAATGCTTGTGGTAGTCTAAAACCTCCTCTCCCGATGGGTGCAGGTCAATGTGCAGTGCACTACGCACGACTTGAGTGCGGAACTGCACATCTGGGTGTTTGGCTATGTGTTGGGCTGTTGCCGTGGTTAAACCACGGGCCAGAATGGACGGATCAGGGGCTACCGTCCCACACTCCAAACAACGACGATGCCAACGACCCCACGACCTCAACAAGTTTACTCCTGCAGCCACTTCCGTAAACTGCGGTGGATCATGCAAGTTCCTGAGTATGAGGTCGCGCTCATTCGTTCCACCTGGCTGGTAAATCGTATGGAGGCGGAACATGATGTGTGCTGCATTTTGAGTTGCCCTGCGTGCTACGATGTCCGATTTCACAGACGCATCCAGTGCTTCCAACAGCATGGCACACGCCCTAGCGTTTACCCTTGACCACTTGCCCTCAACAACCTCCGCCCTATCATCAGGAGCCACCCTCAAACGCTCCACCGGGGACGAAACACTCCAACGGGCAAATGCATCACGCGCCAACTGCAACACACTGGACCACCAAAGTTGAGAGCTGTCCGAAAGATCAACCATCAACCCACTCACCAACTCAAGCCAGTCTTGAAACTCCAAGGAGCCACCCGAAGGATTAGGCGCAACGAGTTTTGGCAAGGTGGTGATCCCTGGTTTAACCGTTTCGGGCACATCATCGCCTTTAACCTTGAGCTGTTGAGCCTGTAGGCTTTGCAGCTGTTGCACCCCCAAAACCAGAGCATCCAACACTGAACTTGGGGCTTGTGGTGTTGTGTCCTGCCCTCCTGGAGTCGATGCAACCTGAGCGCCTACAGCCTGAGAATATGGCACTTGCCCGTCCCTTCCGGGCGGCGGTGGCGGCGGTGGTGGCTGCCCTACGTTGGTGGTAAAGCCATCTAAAACCGGTGGATTGGCTGGTCCACCTAAGCTCGGAGCCCTCAACTGCCCCAAACCCAGGATTTCGGGCTGAGAATGGGGGTTTGGGCCAGAAGAGGCCCGCTCAGGACCTGAAGCGAGTGGAACCTGTGCTGATTGAGCCATGGGCTCTGACACAGACCCTTGCAAGCCCGACCACAAGTTGGACCAAAACCCTGATGTGGATGCTGGAGCTCTCAGGGCCTCAATGACCTGATCAGCCAAAGTTGGGATGACAGGATTCGCACTTGGAGGCGCAGCACTGGGGAAAGGTTGAGGAGGGATTGGCGGGTGCCCACTAGGGGTCTTCGTTTGGATGCTCCTGGCAAGTGCTGCTTCCCTAATGGCTCGCTCCCTCTGCTCATTCGCCTCTGCTAGTTGCTGCCTTAACCTCTCATTTTCGGATTCCTGTGCCTGCGCTCTGGCCTCAAACCCTGCAAGCTGCCTGGCGACCTCTGCTTGGATAGCCTCCTGGGGTATTGACGACGTCTCCGTACGGCTAGGGGGCCGCTCAGGGGCTGCAGATCTAGGGTAGATGATGGGAGCCCGCTGCTCAAGAGCTTGCATGCGCTGCAGCGTTTCCGCATTAAGTAGCGGGGGTTCCCTTCCGGGACCCGGGGCAAAGGTAGTGGGTGTGCCGAGTGATCCCGGCTGCGGCGGCGAACTACTTGACCCCACACTCCCATCTGCCAAGGCCCTCGCCCTAGATGTTGCACCAGGGCTTGCGTGAACATGTACATGACGTGGCGGTGTCTGGGCCTGCACCTCAGTCCTTGCCACGCGGAACAACTCGGAAACACGAGACATAAAAACACCAGGGATACCCTCAACCATCTCGGTGATGGTGGTCAAACCCTGTTGCGAACGTGGGGTGACAAACCCCTCAACTCCAGGAGCTTCCCCAGTTGACCTTATGCCCCCCAAACCACCATCACCACTTTGGTCTGCAACCTCGCGGTCCTCACTCAAAGTGTCCTGACGGGGCTCAGTGTTGGCCCGTGGTCCTGGGCTTCCGCCCGGAGCTGCAAAGGCAAGTGGCATGCTTCGGGGCATACCCTGCTCAATCCCACCCTCACCGGTGGTCGACACATGTTGCAAGCCTTCTGCTGGGTCTGTGCTAACACGCGCCCTTCCCGCAGCCGAATCAACCACAAAACCCAAACCACCCTCTGTGCGGCGGTGGGTGCATCAGGTGTTGTGGACGTCGCATGCCCTGTGGTGCCATAGCCCTGCGTTGGGCTCATAACCTGCTGGAGTGAACCAGCAGGTTGAGTGGAGGATGCAAGTGGAGTGATCAGGTCCCCTGCAAAACTCAACCCTGCCATAGCTCACACAAGGCGGAGATTTTACGCACAAGAACAAAGCAAGCAAAAAGAAGTCTGTGCTACTTGGGCTTGGCACCTACAGATATGGTACATGTGTTGTTAAAATGTCATGCTCAAGGCGTTCTGTGCTTGGGCCTAAGAGCAACAAGGAAAAAGATTCCGCATGTACACATAGCAAAGGCTTGCAAACGAGGCATGCACTTCAGCAGGGACGGTATTTGAAGCCTAAGTGACGGTAATACCCCTACGGCTTCAAGCTGGCTTCAAATACCGTCCCAGTATTGGGGAAGCTATTGAAGCCGGCTTCAGGGGAACCGTATTTGAAGCTTTATTGAAGCCAGTCCTGGGAGATGCTTCCAAATACACTTCCCCAATACTGTGAAATAGAGTACGGCACCAGTTTAAGTAAATTGGTGACGTGGACCCCTTACACGAGATAACACAGCCGGAAGGCCGTCGCTTTTGCTGTGTTAACAACCACGGCTTCAATCTGGCTTCAAATACAAGGTGTGTGACGAGCGAGGCCGACCACATATCTCCAGACCTATAAGACTTCCACGTCGCCAATTTACTTAAACTGGTGCCGTATTCTATTTCACAGTATTGGGGAAGTGTATTTGGAAGACAAATACTCCCCTGAAGCAGGCTTCTACCCGTCTATTTAGAATTTTAGTTTGAAGCCGGCTTCAATATAGGGCTTCAAACACTCAAACAGGCTGACCTCCACGGATTGTGGTCATTGCGCGCAACCGCTTGTTTTCGGTCCACAGATACCAATGTTGTCGGCCGCTTCATGAACGGATCCCTTAATGTGATTCTCCTCCAGACTGCATGATAAATATCCCCAAGTTCTCTTTTTGTTGTGTTTGTCCACGAAGTGTTGTCACTGCTCGCAACCGCTTGTTTTCGGTCCACAAACACGTATCATTTTGTTGTTGTTTTGGTGTTGTGTTTGTTATGTTGCTTTTTTGTGGTTCGCTCCTGGATGCATTGTCCCCTGGGACTTTTTGTCTCAGCGGCATCACATACCAGTGATTGGTATTTTAGTTTGGTGTGTGTGTGTGTGTGCGCGCGTTTACGGGGTGGGCTGGCCGCTGGAAGGGTGGCTGCGTGCATGGGTGGCTGGTGAGTGATTGGGCGCGCCGCTATCGGGCGAGGTCTGGTTTAGAGTTTCAGGCATCGAAACATAGCTCGAGCATTGGAGCTGAGGGTTTGGGAGTTCGGGTTTTGGAATTGAGAGCCTCCGAGAGAACTGTTTGGTTTAGGGTGTAAGGTGTAGAATTTTGGGTTTAGGGTAAACCCAAAGCTCCGTCAATTCACACCCTTCGGTCCATGCGTGAGCGTGCAGTCAGTGGCCACAACCACCCATTGATCCGTTTTTTTGGGCCTCAGTCTTCATGTGCAGGCAATCTTTCAATGCCGTATTGTACCCAGGACTTTTTGTAAAAGACTCTGGGAACAAATGCCTGGGCACGACGAAAACCTGTCCTCTGTTTTGCGCTTGGAATCCACGCCCAGATGCGAGATTGGGCCGGTGCAGCTTGCGCCATGGCTAGCCGCTGCATGAAATTTAAAACGAAACAGACACATGACACAAACCACAGTTAACAACAACAAACATTAATAACATTAACACACACACAAAACAAAAAA